AGACTCTATCAATGAACAGGCATTTCCTGGAGGCACATGATCTTCCCCCGAACCTGAAACTTTGTATTTGTGGGAGGAATTAAGCTGATTTCATTAAACCAGCTGGACCTGAGTCCCTCATGTCATCTGGGGCTAACTGTCAAACTCTACCCTGAACGAAAACACAATGAGTTTAGGTTGACCTGATAAATCATTTTTCATTTGAGTTGGTCATCGGTGCCATGTTTCAGGGAGAAGGCATAGAATACAATGGAGAGAAAGGCCCCCAAAAAGATTTAGTTTATGATGTTGTAAGTGGGGGTATTGTCCAGCCATAGTGCTGAATACTGTATATGTTATGCTTCTTAATCCTGCCAACGATTCTGTGGAGTTGGGTGTCACAGGTTGGGTTCCTAAGACAGCTGGCTAAGAGATAAAATTTGGAAAGTAAAATGCTTTTAAGAAGTGTCTTTGGGATCAAGACCTGGGGGGGCGGGAAGGAAAATGAAGAAAGAATGGACAGAGGGAGAATTTGAACTGGTATAGAGGCCTCCAAAACTCAACTGGAATGGAGGCATGATAGTCCTTCAGACTTATCCCAAGTTGGGCCCAGGTGAAAAGGTCGTACAGGCCCATACCCATCGGTCATGAATGTGGACTGAGACAAGACATGACTCTGGTAGGACCACTTCTCTCTAATGCAGCTGACAAGATCCCTGAAGGGACTAACCCCTAAAAGCTGTTGCCAAAATAGTTGAGGAAGCGATTTTTCATCAAAGGGACACCTGGGTGGTGTATCACAGTGTCCACCATGGAAGGTAAGTTTATCATTACTTTAGAGACAAAGAAAGAGAAGTTAAGAGAAGGTCATTGTCCAAGGTTATCATCATATCATCTTCATCATCATCATCATCAATCATCATCACAATGACAATAATAATAATAATGACAGTTACTATTGTTCAGGACCTCCTCTAAGCCCTACACACGTGTCCTTCGGTATCACAACAACCCTGTGGGATAGCTAGTATTATAACCCCCACTTTCACAGACAAGAAACTGAGGCACAGAAAACATAAGTAACTTTCCACACGTAACACAGGTAGACCTAGGCGTTAAGCCCAGTATTGGGTCACGCCCCTACCCACCACACAGTTGCACAGCTCTCGGAATATGAATCCAGAACTTTCTGATCATCAAGCCCATGCTTTAAAATAAACTGGTTTGTTTCTATATCC